ATGCACTGTCGATCCCAAATTTCCCATTTGGCCTTAAATACAATTTCGGGTTACACTTATTCGAATGGGTGATCCTCACGATAATAACCCTAGCGTGACTTCGTCAACGCATAGGGTCAGTTCGCTATTACATAGCAACATCAAAAAACTCTCATTATCGTAACTAATCCATACACTTGGTTAAAAAAAAAATACACTCATATTTTGTTAGTTATAATTGAGCTTTATTGAAAATACTAGGAGACAAAATAAAAAAACGCTTGCTTCATATATATCAGGTTGTATTATTCTCTGTATTAGGGAATACACTTCCAATAACCTGCCAATTATTTTTTAAAAATACTAAGTGCTCGAAAGTGGTAGGCAAAAGTGTTGTTCGTTTTGCTGTCATCATATTTCCAGCATCACTAAAGAGTCTTTCGCTTGCAGTCGAAGTCGCTGGAATAGCCAAATATTTTCGGGCTAATTTACTTAATACAGGAAACCGTTTTTGATTAGTGCACCACCATGTTAATGGACATTGATCCCATGGAATTTCTTGAGCTCCAAGATAATCTGAAACTTCCAGTTTAGGGCATCTTTTATGAAACATTATGATAATAAAGAATTTGATCGATTTTGAACACCATTATTATTTTCTTCAATCCCATATAGAACCCGGGATTTCTCATATTCAGCTTTAAGTAATTCAAAGGCATTATTTCTTAAGAATTCTGACATAAACGAGAGAAGTTTACAGCATGGCTTCGTTACTAGGCATATCCCAATAATGCTCTATAGCATTGTACAATGCCGATTTTATTTTTTCTTCAAGATTGATATAATTTTGTGGATTACTAATATTAATTCATCATTTTTTGCTTGATACATAATTTTCTTCTACTTCTTCATTGTCTTCATAAACAACATCATCATCAAAGACATCACAAGAAAAATTAAAATCTATATTTGGGTTGATATTAAATGAAAGAAGCCCTTTCTTAATTACTGTAATTGCGCCATACATAAAACTAATAGTAGCATATTTGCTGCCTTCTAATAGTTCAGTCACTTCGGCGAAGGGTCTCAGGATCGTAATTAATGATGTTATTGCATCCCATTCGTCATTTGTTAGGTTAATTTGTTCTAAACGGGAGCCATCTTTGCGAGTTTGTAAACATTATCTAGTAATGAATTTGTTATTATTATACGAATAATGTCTCGAATTTTTATAAGCCGCTGCCATGAGAGATAAGACGAATTTCATCTTGTAAGAACATCAGTGATAATTCGCAATTGATGGTCATTGTTCTCCAGATTCTGAAATAAATTAATTAATTAAATTCAAATAAATTCATATTATTATTATATAATAAAAACACTTACAAGATTTTCAAACTGATGCACATTTTTTTGTGCATTTATTAACCTTTCTGTTTGTTTTGGCATAGTAAAAAACAACATAAGCCTCTTGGCACATGCTATAAGAAGTTCAGCATTTATTAACCCCTTTCCAATAACAAGTTGGAGGGTGTGGGCTGTATACAGAATTCGGATAATATTTGGCAAGCATTTTACAGTCTTAACTATATTGCTTCCGTTATCCGTCATAATAGTGAAAATTTTATTTGTTAATCCCCACTCATTAATTACCGAATCTAATGCTTTAGCAATTGACTCCCCAGTATGGAGGTATGGTAAATATTTAACTGTAAGAATTAATTCATTTAATTGAAAGTTATTGTCAATAAATGAGCACGTCACTCCAAGATATCCCATACGGTTACGTCCTGTCCAAAGATCACATGTTAAAGAACAAGTTATAGTATTATCGTTAAGTATATTTTTAAGACTTTCTTTGGAACTTACAAAAGCATCTGTAAGTAATTTTCGGCAAAGCTTTTCATTAGGTAACTTATAATTAGGATCAAACTCTGCCAGAAACTCAATCAAACTGGTTCCATCTCGTATGCTAATAGGCATTTGATCCTTAACTAACATACTGACAAACTTTTGATCCTGGCTTTCTTTTCTTTTAGAATCGATCACTGCCATTTGTTGAAACATTTGTCCAATATTTTGTTGTGTAGATTGTTTCTGCTTTTGTTTGTGTATTGCTTCTGTAAGTAAATGTCGCAACACCAAGTGCCCAATAAAGTTACTTGTCGAAGTATTCATTGTTCCCATCAAATGACCACATGGTTGAAGTCTATTCTCTCCATTAACTTTAAACAAGCAACTAACTATTCGTTTATAGGGTTCCACAGGCTTATACAATTGGTAATAACTCCATATCCAACTTTTTCCAGGAACTTTGTTAATAGGTACCAGTTGAATGTCTTTAAGATTGGGTTTAGACGATTTATTGACGCAAGAACTATTTTCAGATGGTGTGCTGCTAGTTACTTGATTACCAACAGGTTCATCAGTACTTTCATCATTTAGTTTCTTATCATTTTCATTAGGCCTTTTTTTTTTTCTTTCTGCGGTTTTAGATAGGCTAGTACGTTTTCTTGATTGCCTTGTAAAGAATTCGCTATTAAATGTTCTCTATCTTCAGGTTCACTATCATTCAAAGAAATAAGGTCAGGTACCTCTTCTTGTCCCGTATACTCCATGTTTTGATAGTTTTCGCGTAGATACTTGTGCAGTGTAAAAATAATTTTCGTGTAAATACTTGTGTAAGGTAAAGATAGTGTTCCGTACATATATATATCTTTATGCATATGATTAAAGATCACAAGATACATATGGTAATACAGTTTAACCCCTCTACTTTAAAAATGTGCTTATAAAAGGTTATGCTTATATAAATTATGCTTCGATACTTATAAAATATTGTGCTTATAAAAGATAATACCTATATAGAAGTTTTTTTTTCTTAATAGTAATTGGTTTTTAAATAAAATGCTTATAGAAAGAACTTTATATTATGCGCTCATATGAGAGTGACTATACAGTAGAGGGGCATTGCTGAGTAATCATCAAAAAAAAAAAAAAAGTCAAAAAAAAAAGTTTTATAATGCATCTATTGTTCTCAACACTACTATGTAAGGTTAGAAGTTTGAGGTTCAGATTAGAGGTAAAGATTTTTGAGACATAGAATATCAACACTTACAGCAGACTTTTTTTGAAAAAGAAAAATTAAAATTATATATTAAAATTGGAGGAGGCGAAAAGCGGTAAGAAGTGGTGAGAAGAAGAGAGGCAAAAGGCGAAGTGATTAAAAAAAAAAAAAAAAAAAAAGAAAAAAAAAAAACTGTAAAATGTCCTTCACAAGTTTTATTCGTAAAAGCAAAGTAATGTTTGGAATTTAATGAAAGAGAACATTACATCCGTTACTATATTTTTTTTATTCAAATGTTTACGTTTTATATACTTCTGCTCACGGTATTAAGGCTTTTTAATTACTATATTAAGTTAGTAATGAGAATACGTAAAACAAGGAAAATAAATGTTAGCAGGCTTTTAGTTAGCCATAGATATAGATACGTACAGTATGTATATACGTACGTGTATATTGATATCGATATGTATATTACGTACGTACGTATTTGTTAAATTATCCTTTTAAAAACTAGAGAGTAACGGTTACATATCCGTGAATTATTTACAGCATTTGGATATGCGGTTACTCATACAGATACTCGCAGAGATCTTCTAGATTATCTTTTTAAAAACTAACAGATGATGGTTGCTATCCATGAGACAATTATGACATCCGGATATGCAGTTAATAGTACGAATGTCCATAAATGCGGTTAACAGTTCCGACCTTTATTCTCTACAACTTTTATTATAAGTCTATACAAGGTTTATTTAGTAAATAAATTAGTTATAACTAGGTAAATGGAAACCATTTAAGGTCCGAAGAACTTAAAATTGCTTTTTGTAATTGATTATGAATCAGTCTGACAATGGGTATTTTCGGAGCAAATGTTTGTTTTTAACAGATCAACCAATCAAAACCCTTATTTTGCGGACACACACACAAACAGGTCACTATGCCTCTACCGTAATGTCCTTCGGACAATTAAAAAACTTTATGCTTTTATTCAAATTTTCTTAAAATTTTTTAAAGAAATTTTAATTATAATATTTTTACTAT